AAAAAAAAAAAAAAAAAGAAAGAAACCATGGAGCCTAGAGGAGGTGGCATAACATTTAAGTATAGAAGGAGAAGAACTGTCAACCCATAGTTCTGTCCCTGGCAAAAATATCCTTCAGGAATAGAAACGAAGTAGACATTTTCAGATGAAGTAAATTAAAATTTTTTCATCAACACATGGCTGAAAGAATGGCTGAGCAAAGTTCTCTAAACAAAGCAACAGAAGAAGGAAGCTGGGAACATTAGGAATTAAGGAAAGATTCAGAATACAGGGAAATATAATGAGCCATCCTTCTCTTGAGTTTTATAATTATGTTTGACAGTTGGAAAAAAAGTTGTAACATTCTCTGATGTGATTCTCAGTGTATATAGAGGAAATAATTATAAAGTGAGATGTTACCATTGGAAGGAACTGGGTGAATGGGAATATAGGTGCTCTCTGTATTATGTATTATATATTACAACTACATGTGAATCTACAGTTACATCAGAATTAAAAGATTTTTATAAAAATAGATCAAAATGGATTTTTTTAAATGTTTGAGTAACCCATAGGAAGTCAGGAAAATGAAATCAAGAATTGAACGGTGGAGGAAAAAACAGATAAATGGCAGGCTTAAGCCCTAACATACCAATTATATTAAGTGTAAGTTATATATACCAATTAAAAAAACGGGTTGACACAATATATTTTTATTTTTTTTTAATAGGAAATTTATCGTCACTTTGGTTTCCATACAACACCCAGTGCTCATCCCAACAGGTGCCCTCCTCAATAAACATCACCCACCCTACCCTCCCTTCTACCCCCCATCAACCCTCAGATTGTTCTCAGTTTTCAAGAGTCTCCTATGGTTTGGCTCCCTCCCTCTCTTTTTTAGAGTCAATGGGGGAGTTCTCCTCCCCCATGGTCTTCTGTTAAGTTTCTCAGGATCCACATAAGAGTGAAAACATACGGTATCTGTCTTTCTCTGTGTGACTTATTTCACTTAGCATAACATTCTCCAGTTCCATCCACGTTGCTACAAAAGGCCATATTTCATTCTTTCTCATTGCCACGTAGTATTCCATGGTGTATATAAACCACAATTTGTTTATCCATTCATCAGTTGATAGACATTTAGGCTCTTCCCATAATTTGGCTCTTGTTAAAAGTGCTGCTGTAGGGGCGCCTGGGTGGCGCAGTCGGTTAAGCGTCCAACTTCAGCCAGGTCACGATCTCGCGGTCCGTGAGTTCGAGCCCCGC